CACATGTGATAACACTGTTTCTTGTATAGATACTCCAATGCAGACTTCAGGCTAGTTGTTCCCGAGCGCATAAGTCCAGCTCCAATCACTAGTAAGTCGGAGTTAGCCTTTGAATCCTTGACGTCAGTGGAGGCAGTCCAGTTGTCTGAGTCTATCGTGTTGATAAAAAGAGTAACTCTGGTCAAAAGTGGAGTGAGTATCTTGTGAGAAATCGTTAGTCAGAGATATCTAATTATAAGTCAGAAGGAGATCGGAAAAATCAATCTCAGTGTGTACAACTTGAGAGTAACTAGTTGAGGGTTTTGTTGTCGACTCACACAGAACTCAACTATTCACTGTTATATTTCCAAAAGCGAAAAATTGGGAGATATCTGAATGTGAAGGACTGAACTTCTAAACAACTTTGCCTAAGGTATACTCAGTCAGGACTAAATATCACCACAATTCAAGAAACGAGAATCATGAGGAAACCATGTCACAAACAATATTTTTCTAAATGAGACAACGAAGTTGATACTTTGAATACTGGCGATGTGAATAATGTTGACAAGAATGATGTCGGGTGATGACGGATATTTCAGATTCTCAGATCCATCTCAGCCAACAGTTGTGAAGTGAAGGGGGAAGTTATTATGAGATCGTATGTAGAGTAGATGGACACAGTTGGAAGAAGTCATTCAAGTTCTTTCTAGCAGGTGATTTGCTCTCCGAGCTTGAGTGTTTCAAGAGAGATCTACTGACATTCACTTGGAAGCCACCTCCAGTACTGCTTCATGAGGAAGCCACTGAAAATAAAACGCAATGTGAAGGCAGAGGAAATTCATCCTATCAAGGTTCGTTTGTACACGCAAAATCTGAGGATTGGAGACCGTCTGACTGACTGAATTCGAGGTTCAAACTCTAAAAGCAACACATTTCTTATCCAGCTACAGTCAATCATCTTCCAATCACTCTAAACTATTTATTCTACGTTTGTGGAGCATGTACAGAGGTAACTCCCTGAAAATCATCAACCCAGTATCGTTTCCCCAGTTTTGAAGCCTGGTTTGCACAATCACTAGTCTCTAGAAGTGTTTGTCATTGACGATAATTTACTTCTAGCATTCGTGTTCATAGGCAGATAAGATATCCTTGTGATTGACAAGGTAACTAGTCTCCCTAACAATCTGATTTGTAGGACGTATGAATGGATGAAGGTAGAATGAGATATTCTGATCGTCAATTTCCGTCCTTAACCGCTTCATATCTCAAAGGTGATCATGTGAAAATCAATAAAAATGGCGTCTTTTATTTTCACAGAATAATGTTAACATTGAACAGCAATGCTCCTAAATCCTTGTATATGAAGACGTTATACAACACTCATGTCTCCCATCACACATCTAGTAGACAACCGGGCGGTGAAGCCACTGCGAGTCAGTCGTTAATGAACCAACTACAGTGTGGAAAACCGACCACAGCTGATTCACTGATGACGAGACCAACAAAGTGAAATTGATACCACCAAATTGTGTGACTTACTAGTAGAGTAATTGACATTATAATATGACAGATATTCTCTGTCAACGTGAAGACTTACTGGATTGTCCACTTGTAGGCAGATAGGCAGTGTTTGTTTCATCCTCTGGCTCCTCCACATCACTGGATTCATCCGAATTCAGCTCCCCTTGTACATTGCTAAAAGCTTCATCACCCTGCAAAACACTGCCTTCCACAACTGATCCAGTCAAATATTTCAAGTCCGGGTTCATTTCGCTCTTCTCCTTGTCCATATAGATAGCACGGATAGTGTTAAATGATAAGTTATATAATGACTTATCTTGGTCGCTTAAATTTATATATATTTTTTCACTTATGTTTTCTTACTTTCACATTCCAATATGAATGTGAAGAAATAAAATGAAGTAATAATGAGTACTTTTGGCTGTCTATCATTAAACTACAGAAAGGTAACAAGTTCTAAATGGTCTCACTACGTCTGACTTGCATTCAACTATGAGCGATGAAGAGCATTCAGTCTATGCCGTTATTAGTAATGATAACAAGAAGAGAAGAAATGTGGCCGAGTGTCCTACAATTTGTGCATACTTTGATAATTAGCTAAGATATACACAAACCCACACACATACTGAAAGAAAGAGAGTTGGTGTCTTTTAATCAGAACATAAGTGTCCTTAGTAGTTTCAGAATTTATTTTACGGAAGCTACCTCTTCACTCTGTTTTATGAATCATAATCAGTAAGTATAGAAATGCTTAACATGAGCTGCAGAGTCCTCCATGAACGAATGTAACCTTTACATTGCAGATGAGTGGTGTCTTACAACAAACAGTCATCTAAGCGTATGTAGTGAAATTCAACATGCAAACTAGGTATAGTTTTCATCAATTAATTGGTTTGTAGGGATTTGACTGATTGGTTACAGGATTTCATCATGAACTGACATCGGTTAGTGAACCATTGGGAAACTTGGGAGTAATGAACAGCTGTTCATATCGACCTAGTTTGGGACTGGTACACACCAACCGGGGTTCGAACCCGGGACCTTCTGGTCACAATATATCAATGAGATTCTCCCCAGTGCTTAGACTTATTCAGGTAGGTTGTTGCCTATGGTTCTAGTGGAATGTCATCACCAGACATAATCGGGTGTGAGGTCATGACACTAGTTATCAGGTTATAATACATTCCAGAAAGTGAAACACATGGATCCAGAAATTGAAGAACTCACCTGAATGAAAGTGACATGAAGTACGGGAAAGAAAATCCAAGTATTGATTATGCCCATCTCGAGTAACACACTTTTCATATACCTAGACGAGCATTAGACGAGGTTGACAGAAAAAGTAAACATCTGTTCATCATACACATTAGGCTGAAAATACAGAGCTTAAGCTTTAGCCGTTATGGTATTTGAAGAGTATTACAGTACTTGATGAGATTCATTCAGTAGACATTATAACAGGGATTTACTTAATCAGTAAAGTAATACAATGAGCTATAAGAGGACATAAACACCTATGTGAAAATTTAGCTGACATTCTTCATTTAAGGTGAGATCTTTATACTAGATTACTGTTAAAAGGGCCACTGATATCTGAAATGTGATTTTTTTGTTCCTTTGAGTTTCCAGTGGAACATAGGGCTTAAAACTAGAGGGCTGAATTTTCAGCAGCATTGGTGTGTATTTTTACAGGATGGAGTTGCTAGCCTCATACCCAACCGCTCCCCTTTAACAGTCTTATTACTAGTTTAGTGAGGTGATGACCGGTCATGTCATCCCACTAGAACCATGGGTAACTAACTACCTGAATAAGGCTAGTCACTGGTGAGCATCTCATTGATCGACAGTGCGTTGGTGGGAGAGCGGTAAGGACTCTCGCCGATCATGCACAGAGTCCTAACCGCTCTCCCACCAACGCACTGTCGATCAATGAGATGCTCACCAGTGACTAGCCTTATTCAGGTAGTTAGTTACCCATGGTTCTAGTGGGATGACATGACCGGTCATCACCTCACTAAACTAGTAATAAGACTGTTAAAGGGGAGCGGTTGGGTATGAGGCTAGCAACTCCATCCTGTAAAAATACACACCAATGCTGCTGAAAATTCAGCCCTCTAGTTTTAAGCCCTATGTTCCACTGGAAACTCAAAGGAACAAAAAAATCACATTTCAGATATCAGTGGCCCTTTTAACAGTAATCTAGTATAAAGATCTCACCTTAAATGAAGAATGTCAGCTAAATTTTCACATAGGTGTTTATGTCCTCTTATAGCTCATTGTATTACTTTACTGATTAAGTAAATCCCTGTTATAATGTCTACTGAATGAATCTCATCAAGTACTGTAATACTCTTCAAATACCATAACGGCTAAAGCTTAAGCTCTGTATTTTCAGCCTAATGTGTATGATGAACAGATGTTTACTTTTTCTGTCAACCTCGTCTAATGCTCGTCTAGGTATATGAAAAGTGTGTTACTCGAGATGGGCATAATCAATACTTGGATTTTCTTTCCCGTACTTCATGTCACTTTCATTCAGGTGAGTTCTTCAATTTCTGGATCCATGTGTTTCACTTTCTGGAATGTATTATAACCTGATAACTAGTGTCATGACCTCACACCCGATTATGTCTGGTGATGACATTCCACTAGAACCATAGGCAACAACCTACCTGAATAAGTCTAAGCACTGGGGAGAATCTCATTGATATATTGTGACCAGAAGGTCCCGGGTTCGAACCCCGGTTGGTGTGTACCAGTCCCAAACTAGGTCGATATGAACAGCTGTTCATTACTCCCAAGTTTCCCAATGGTTCACTAACCGATGTCAGTTCATGATGAAATCCTGTAACCAATCAGTCAAATCCCTACAAACCAATTAATTGATGAAAACTATACCTAGTTTGCATGTTGAATTTCACTACATACGCTTAGATGACTGTTTGTTGTAAGACACCACTCATCTGCAATGTAAAGGTTACATTCGTTCATGGAGGACTCTGCAGCTCATGTTAAGCATTTCTATACTTACTGATTATGATTCATAAAACAGAGTGAAGAGGTAGCTTCCGTAAAATAAATTCTGAAACTACTAAGGACACTTATGTTCTGATTAAAAGACACCAACTCTCTTTCTTTCAGTATGTGTGTGGGTTTGTGTATATCTTAGCTAATTATCAAAGTATGCACAAATTGTAGGACACTCGGCCACATTTCTTCTCTTCTTGTTATCATTACTAATAACGGCATAGACTGAATGCTCTTCATCGCTCATAGTTGAATGCAAGTCAGACGTAGTGAGACCATTTAGAACTTGTTACCTTTCTGTAGTTTAATGATAGACAGCCAAAAGTACTCATTATTACTTCATTTTATTTCTTCACATTCATATTGGAATGTGAAAGTAAGAAAACATAAGTGAAAAAATATATATAAATTTAAGCGACCAAGATAAGTCATTATATAACTTATCATTTAACACTATCCGTGCTATCTATATGGACAAGGAGAAGAGCGAAATGAACGCGGACTTGAAATATTTGACTGGATCAGTTGTGGAAGGCAGTGTTTTGCAGGGTGATGAAGCTTTTAGCAATGTACAAGGGGAGCTGAATTCGGATGAATCCAGTGATGTGGAGGAGCCAGAGGATGAAACAAACACTGCCTATCTGCCTACAAGTGGACAATCCAGTAAGTCTTCACGTTGACAGAGAATATCTGTCATATTATAATGTCAATTACTCTACTAGTAAGTCACACAATTTGGTGGTATCAATTTCACTTTGTTGGTCTCGTCATCAGTGAATCAGCTGTGGTCGGTTTTCCACACTGTAGTTGGTTCATTAACGACTGACTCGCAGTGGCTTCACCGCCCGGTTGTCTACTAGATGTGTGATGGGAGACATGAGTGTTGTATAACGTCTTCATATACAAGGATTTAGGAGCATTGCTATTCAATGTTAACATTATTCTGTGAAAATATAAGACGCCATTTTTATTGATTTTCACATGATCACCTTTGAGATATGAAGCGGTTAAGGACGGAAATTGACGATCAGAATATCTCATTCTACCTTCATCCATTCATACGTCCTACAAATCAGATTGTTAGGGGACTAGTTACCTTGTCAATCACAAGGATATCTTATCTGCCTATGAACACGAATGCTAGAAGTAAATTATCGTCAATGACAAACACTTCTAGAGACTAGTTATTGTGCAAACCAGGCTTCAAAACTGGGGAAACGATACTGGGTTGATGATTTTCAGGGAGTTACCTCTGTACATGCTCCACAAACGTAGAATAAATAGTTTAGAGTGATTGGAAGATGATTGACTGTAGCTGGATAAGAAATGTGTTGCTTTTAGCGTTTGAACCTCGAATTCAGTCAGTCAGACGGTCTCCAATCCTCAGATTTTGCGTGTACAAACGAACCTTGATAGGATGAATTTCCTCTGCCTTCACATTGCGTTTTATTTTCAGTGGCTTCCTCATGAAGCAGTACTGGAGGTGGCTTCCAAGTGAATGTCAGTAGATCTCTCTTGAAACACTCAAGCTCGGAGAGCAAATCACCTGCTAGAAAGAACTTGAATGACTTCTTCCAACTGTGTCCATCTACTCTACATACGATCTCATAATAACTTCCCCCTTCACTTCACAACTGTTGGCTGAGATGGATCTGAGAATCTGAAATATCCGTCGTCACCCGACATCATTCTTGTCAACATTATTCACATCGCCAGTATTCAAAGTATCAACTTCGTTGTCTCATTTAGAAAAATATTGTTTGTGACATGGTTTCCTCATGATTCTCGTTTCTTGAATTGTGGTGATATTTAGTCCTGACTGAGTATACCTTAGGCAAAGTTGTTTAGAAGTTCAGTCCTTCACATTCAGATATCTCCCAATTTTTCGCTTTTGGAAATATAACAGTGAATAGTTGAGTTCTGTGTGAGTCGACAACAAAACCCTCAACTAGTTACTCTCAAGTTGTACACACTGAGATTGATTTTTCCGATCTCCTTCTGACTTATAATTAGATATCTCTGACTAACGATTTCTCACAAGATACTCACTCCACTTTTGACCAGAGTTACTCTTTTTATCAACACGATAGACTCAGACAACTGGACTGCCTCCACTGACGTCAAGGATTCAAAGGCTAACTCCGACTTACTAGTGATTGGAGCTGGACTTATGCGCTCGGGAACAACTAGCCTGAAGTCTGCATTGGAGTATCTATACAAGAAACAGTGTTATCACATGTGTGAGTTAGTATTCAACCTTCGAGAACCACATATCAAATCGTGGTTGTGGGCAATAGAACAAGATAGACAGAAGAAAACAATTCCCAAGGAATTTTGGACACACATATACAGGGATTTCTCAACTGCAGTGGATTACCCAACTGTTGGCTTTTACAGACAACTATCACAGATTTATCCGAATGCCAAGGTAAGCTAATAATCCCACATGTATAACTTCATGATTGATTCTGGTTAAAATTAATTCTCTGTAGGTGATTATCGTCGACACTGAATTCTGACAGATGACGAATGATTTGATGTTTCATGAAATTTGTGTGAAATTTCACACTATAATCGTGAATTCTCACGGGATATATTTGTAGGATACTTGTTTGTGGGGAAGTATGTTTTCGATTGGTGAAGTGTTGGCCTCTTCAGAGTGCACTTAGTATTCTCTGTTTAATAAAATTACCTTTCCATTATATGTTGTGATGTGATATTAACTTACAGCATCAATCGGTTTATTAGCCCTGATGGACGAACATGTTCTCGTGACACTCACAATCGAATAGTTCACTGAATGAGCTGTAGAGTTTAATAGAATTCTGGGGTAGGAATAAAGCATGTAGTCATGAGATAATTTGCCACATTTACCTATTCTGATGGCGCCTATGACAAAATCCTTGCATCTTCTCAAACTTCATTGCAAATAATGCTGGTGTTCACGGCGGTAAATTTATTTTATCAATCTACACATGCTGACTGATCTTTAGAATACAAATCTTAGTATTCATCACTAACGCTTACGTTCACAATATACGTCTCATGACTTTAAATCCAGTTGGTCTGTGTAGAGAACACCGACATCTTAGAAACAATACGGACGTATACTGGGACATGTGATTTCTACTGACACTGAACGTGTTACTCAGGAGTGCACTTCCAAATATCCACTCCTCATATTCTCCTGCCGCATGAACATGGAGAGATGAGTCGGTTAATTATGTCGGAGACCATATCAGTGTGGTATGTTCACTCGGCTTAAATCTCTTTCCCTACTGGCACTACTATATTTCCTTCGAGGCATAGCACAGCATATCATACAACACTTATTTAACATTTGTATGCTGCTAACACACACACACACACACAATGGCAGGTTGACCCCATTCCCTGTATTCTAAATAATGGTCGTGAATCTGTTTCTTCATGAAATCTTAACAAATCAGTGTCACCGCCGTATTTTTGTAATCCACGAGTCGCGATTCAACCAGTATCGTCACCACCACCACCACCAATTCATCAACTTCTTGTAAAATTGACGTGAAATTTAACCTTTATTTTTCAGGTCATTCTGACTGTGCGTGATCCGGATGAATGGGTTAGAAGCTGTCGAGCGACTACACTGTCAGAGACAATTTTGCAGAAACAAACCATTGGACAGCGTATTATACATCGACTGTTTCGTGTGCACAGACTACACGAACTGCATCACCAAATGTTCCGTCAAACATTAGGAGAGGACTTCCACACGGCGACAGATGAACAATTGAGAAATGCTTACATCAGTTGGAATGAAGAAGTTGTTAAAAGTATCCCTGCTGAACGCTTGTTGGTCTTTGACTCGACTCAAGGCTGGAAACCGCTGTGTGAATTCTTGGACTTGCCTGTCCCATCATCGAATATAGCCTATCCACATTTGAATGAGAGAGAGGTGATGATCCAGGCGATAAGTGAATTCAATCGACCATGTCAGTTGGTCGATAGATGCCTTAGTTTCATTCTCTATTTATTGTTACCCGTATTGTTTGCATTCATGTGTATGTATTATGTGAGCGGAATTTATGAGAGAATTTCTTCTGTATTTTAGTTACCTCTATTCTCTTTGATATCGCCTTTACTCCATATGAATTATTTCTTCTTCTTCTTCTTCTTCTACATAAGTGTGAGCAAAATATCAGTCGACTGTATTGTTTTGTGAAGTATTTCCGCGTTACATCTCCTATTTGCGGTTGTCTTACTTATTCTGTGTAATGACATTATGAAGTTTACTGTTGATTTCCATGTTAAAAGGAATGAAATACACAGTGTGGTCATGTTTTACTGAATTCTCTCTGTGTCTTCTCGAGTTGTCACACTCACTCTATCCTTAGCATTGAAAGTTGTGATCAATAGGTTTTGTTCTGTCTACGTCACTGTTTTTTTCGTTGGTGGGAATGCCTCCTAACAGATGATCTAAGTAGTTGGTTTCAAACACCTGCCTGTGACATGGATTTTGAAATCATTTCGAATGTACCTATACTGGTGTTGTAATCTGCATGATGAAATATGAGGTGAAGAAAGCTTGGAGAGTGGATGCTTCAAATATTTGAAGAATCGAAATCTAGGTCCATGTAACTACTCAAATATCGTTTTGTAAATGAATTACGAACAATTTCAGTAAGCTTTACTTTCGTGTGTTTTTGCAAAGATGGAAGAAACGTGAGAGCTTTTCACCATCACAATGATATGTAGTGTTTCAGTCGTTGAATTTTCAGGTGTGCGCAGACTATTAACGGCAATACGAAGGGTCCTTTTAATGATGTTTATACGCTGCACTTTTGAAATGAATTATTTTAATTCGTCAAGCAAATGGTAAGACTTGACCGATTCCGATGTTAGGATGAAAGATGACTGGAAGGAAATCAGGTGTTTTGGATGAAATCTCCTGTTCAGTGTACAGCTACGATTCCTCTCAAAATAATGTGTAATTGTTACAATGTCTACTCTCCACTTTTGTCTGTTCTTCAACAAATGACTTATTCTTCTGTCCTGAGAACACGATAACTTAACTGCACTCCAGTATACGATTATGATCAGCAGTAAGTGACTTCGACTAATTGTAGCTTATAGTTGTGAATTGGTCGCAGAAAGGCGAGGAGTTTATAATGATACTGCAGCAACGATAGTGCCATTAGGTCCCTACGACTTTGGACGGAGATATACACGTGGTGAAAGTAGTTGTTAATTCTTTGGTCGCCTCACTTTATCAGATCTAACCTAATATAATTGGCGTTTTCTTGATTATTATACATATATGTTGGATAGTAGACCGTCAGTGCGTAGTCGTAGTACTTTACTTGTCAGTCTCCACCTACTTATGAGTAGTGAGACAAGAATTTGTTGTTTGTTGTCTATGTGTACATAATCAGCACACTATGTAGTGTATATCGATTTAATTCCACTCATCGTAGTGACAGTCCTATGCGATATCCCCCTTTAAACGAGACAACTTCTGCAAACAGAACATCCATGAGAGGTTTTTATTAATCATACATAATCACGGTTTCTTGAGCATATTCTGAATTCGTTCTCCATCGAGTTTCACATAATATTGTGGTAAATGCAGCTTGTGGAATCCATTTTACTGTGATGATGCATAATTTCTCTGAAAAGTGAAATGTATTTACGCAGCATATTT